AGCTGGGTTGAATGGGACCTCTAATCCTACTTTTTTGAGGAATCTCTACACTGATTTCCACAGTGGTTGCACCAGTCTACACTCCCACCAGCAGTGGAGAATGGTTCCTTTTTCCCCACAGCCCCACCAGCATTTGTTATTGGGTGATTTTTTGATGATAGCCATTCTTTCTGGGATGAGATGAAATCTCAGTGTTTTTTAATTTGCATTTCTCAAATGACTAATGATGTTGAACATTTTTTTCATATATTTATTTGCCATTTGTATTTCTTCATCTGAGAGGTATGTGTTCATCTTAAATGCCCATTTTTGGATTGGGTCTTTGAATTTTGGGGGCCTGACTTTTTAAAATTCTTTATATGTTCTAGATAGAAGTCCTTTGTCTGAGGGACAGTTGGCTAAAGTGTTTTTCAAATTTGTGGGTTTTCTTTTTACTCTTGGTCATTTCTTTTGATGTGCAAAAATTTTCAATAAGTTGAAATCCCAGTTGTTGATTCTTTGAAGGATTTTCTGTGCAGTTTGGTTTTTATTCATGAATTCTATACATACCCCTCATAAGTGAAATAAATCAGACTTGCCATGTGTAAACATTATATTGTTTCCCTAGTGTAATCCTACCCCTATGTCTTCAAGATTTCTACCTACTTTCTCTTCCAGTAGATTTAGTGTTCCTGTTTTAATATTTAGATCTTTAACCTATTTTCACTTTAGTGCATGGTGATAGACATGGGTCTAGTTTTAGTTTTTGACATGTGGAAAGCCAGTTTTTCCAGCACCATTTATTAAAGAGGCTATCTTCTTCCAGTGAACATGTTTGGCCCCTTTGTCAAAGATAAGGTGACTGAATGTTTTTGTGGTTGTGTCTGCACCTTCCAGTGTGTTCCATTGATCCCTTATGTCTTTTTTTTTTTTTTTTTAAACCAATAACATACTGATTTTATCACAACAGCTTTCTAGTATAATTTCAAGTCAGGGATTGTGATGCCTTCTACCTTGCCTTTGTCACCCAGGATTGCTTTGCTATTCTAGACCTCTTCTTGTTCCAGATGAATTTTAGGAATGTTTTCTCTAGATCTGTGAAGTGTGCTAACGATATACTTCAATTTTGGTCAGGGTTGCATTGAATCTGCATAAGAATTTTGGGAGTATGGCCATTTTCTGAATGTTGGTTCTTCCTATCTATGAGCAAAGAATACCTTTCTATTTTCTGAAATCTTCTTTAATCTCTTTTTTCAGAGTACTGTAATTTTCACTGTATATATCTTTCACTTCTTCTGTTAGATTGATTCCTAAGTACTTCAGTTTTTCAGATGCTACTGTGAAAGGTGTGGTTTCCCTAATTTCTCTCTCAGTGTGTTTGTGGTTTGTGTATAGGAATGATATTGGTTTTTGAGTGTTGACTTTGTATCCAGCTATGCTACTGAATTTGTTTATTAATTCTAGGAGTCTTTTGGTGGAATTTTTGGGGTTTTCCATGTAGAGTATCATGTCATCTGCGAGTAATGATAATTTCACTTCTTCCTTTCCTATCCTCAATCTTTTTATTCCTCCCCCTTGTCTAATTGCTCTGGCTAATGTTTCCAGCACTATATTGAATAAGAGTGGTGATAGTGGACATCCTTGTCTTGTTCCCATTTTAAAGGGAAAACTTTCAGTTTTGGTCCATTTAGTATGATGTTGGCTCTTGGTTTGTCATAGATGACTTTGATCAGATTAAGATAAAGTCCATCTATTCTGATTTTCTGTAGGGTTTTTATCACGAATGGTGTTGGACTTTATCAAAAGCTTTTTCTGCATCTATTGAGATGATAATGTGATTTTTGTCTTTGGCTCTGTTGATATGATGTATTACATTTATTGATTTGCATAAATTGAACCATCTCTGCATTCCTGGGATGAATTCCCCTTGGTCATGTGTATAATCCTCTTGATGATTTGCTGCATTCCATTACCTAGTATTTTGAGAATTTTTGCCTCTATGTTCATTAGGGAAATTGGCCTATAGTTGTCCTTTTTGCTTGGGTCTTTCTTTGGTTTTGGTATCAGGGTAATACTTGCCTCTAAGAATGAATTAGGGAGAATTGCTTCTCTTCATTAAAGAGTTTGAGAAGAACTGGCATTAAGTCTTCTCTAAACTTCTTGTAGAATTCAGCTGTGAATCCATTAGGACCTGTGTTTTTCTTTGTTGATAAGTTTTTTTAAAATTACGTTTTCTATTTTGTTCACTGATATTGGGTTATTCAGGGTTTTTGTATCTTCTTAATTCAACTTTGGTAATTCATATGTATCTAGGAATCTGTCTGTTTCCACTATGTTTTTCATCCTTTGAGAGTATAGATTTTTGAAGTAAGTATTGTTGATCTTTGGAATTTCTATAGAATATGTGGTGATTTTACTCTTTTCATTCCTCATTACATGGATTTGAGTTTTTCTTCCCTTTTTTTGATAAGATTGGCTAGGGGTTTATCAATTTTATTTATTTTTTCAAAGAATCAACTCTTGGACTCATTAATTCTATGTATTGTTTTCTTAGTCTCCATTGTGTTAATTTCTGCTCTGATCTTTATAATTTCCTCCTTTCTTTGAGCTTTGGGATTGACTTGCTCTGCTTTCTAGAAGCTTGAGGTGCAGTTTAAGGTTGTTTATTTGTGCTTGTTTTGTTTTCTTGATATGGGAATTCACTGCTATAAATTTTCCTCTGATGAATGCTTTCATTGCATCCCACAGGTTCTGATAGGTTGTATCTGCATTTTTCATTTGATTGTAAATATTGCTTAATTTCTTCTTTAATTTCATCTGTGACCCATTGGTTGTTCAGGAGGGTGTTATTTAACTTTTATGTGTTTATGGAGTTTTTGAGACTTCTTTTGTCAATAGTTTCCAATTTCATTGCACTATGGTCAGGTAATATGCATGGGATAATTTCAATTCTTTTGCATTTACTTAAGCATGTTCTATATGCTAATATATGGTCTATTTTAGAGAATGTCCCATATGCAGCTGAGAAGAATGTGTATTCTAATGTTGGGTGGAATACTCTGTAAAGGTCTATTGAGTCCATTTATTCACACTTTTGATTTAGTTCTGTTATTTCTTTGCTGATATTTTTTCTAGGTGATCTATCTCTTTGTGACAATGGGGTGTTAAAGTCCCCTGTTACAATTGTATTACTGCTTATTTGATTTTTCAGGTCTGTTAAAATTTGTGTTAGATAGTTGGGTGCTCCTGCATTTGGTGCATATATATTTATGACTGTTATCTCTTCCTCCTGCAGTTTTCCTCTAACAAGTATATAGTGACCTTCTTTATATCTACCATTGTTGGTTTGAAGTTCACATTGTCTGCAAACAGAATAGCTACCCCCACTTTTTTCTGGGTTCTTGTTGCATGGAGTATTGTTTTCTATCCTTTGACTTTCTATCCTTTCTATCCTTTCAGTCTGTGAATTTCCTTTGGAGTTAAATATATTTCTTGTATGCAATATATTGGTGGATTTTATTTCTTGATCCACTCTGCCAGTCTGTTTCTTTTGATTGGTGGATTGAGGCCATCTACATTAATAGTTATTACTGATATGTACTGGCTTATCGTTGATATATTATTTTCCTACTATTGGTTCCCTACTTTTCCCTCTCTGTTTAATTGCTTGCCCTGCTTAGTGGTTCCTTTCTATTGTTGTTCTTGGAATTGTGGTCATTTTTATCTCTTTCTAGAATATCTTTCAGTACTCCTTGTAGGGTTGGTTTGTTGGTCATGAATTTCTTCAGTTGATCTTTGTTGTGGATGTATTTTATTTCTCCATTAATTTTTGAAAGATAGTTTTTCAGGGTATACCAATCTGGGTGGAAGTTATTTTCTTTCAGGACCTGAAATATTTCACTCCAAGGTCTTCTTGACTTGATGGTTTTTGCTGAGAAGTCTGCCATGATTCTGATGGGTTTTCCTTCATAGGTGATCTGTTTCTTTTGTCTAACAGCTTCTAATATTCTCTTCTTTTGCTGAATTTCTGGGATCTTGATTATTATGTGTCTGCATATGGATTTATTTGGGTTATGGCCCCCCCTTGGAATTCTATATGCCTCACTTAACTGTATGTTAGATTCTTCTTCGTGTTTGGGACATTTTCTGCGTTTTCTTCTACAGGTAGTCTTTTCATATCATTTATGTTGCCTCCTGATCTTTCATTGACACCTATATGGTTTTCCTTTCTTTCTTTTTTCAGCCTTCTATGGTTTTCCTTTGTCTCATATTGCAGCTGTTGAATTGTTATTTCCTGGTTCCTTGCTATTTTTAAAAGGTCTTTCCTTTTGTGATTGCCAGCTACAGTGTTGTCTTCAAGGTCTGAAAGTTGGTCTTCAGTTTTTTTCAAGGAATTTTGCCAGTTTTCAATATGAATATCTGTTTGAATCTGTTTCATGCATTCTAATGCTTCCTATACTGTTAATTCAAAGATTCCATCATTTTTCTGTGCTCCTCTATTTTTTATCTATGTCTTCTTTTGATATGCTGAGCAATTCTTTCATTTTTGTTGTCATTTCTTTTTTGCCTAAGAGATTATTCCTGATCTAATTTCTTCTATAGCCTGATGTAGTTACTTCAGTTGCAATCATTTCAGAAATTTCACATGCATGACTTCCAAGTTCTTACTTGTCAGTGTGTCTTGCACTTGTTCTGGTTGGAGTGGAAGTCTGTAATTGCATTTTGCTCCTTTGTTTTATCATTTTTGAAGCTCCTTAGGTTTTCTGGGACTCCAGGTCACCCTTGTGATGGCAGCGGGAAGCAGAGCATGGAGTCTGTTCATTTGTTGGTTTACTTCTTTATTAGATTATAAGATCCCAGAGATCAAGGGTTATATTTGTTTCATTTACCAGCAAAACAAACAATAAAGTAGAAGTGATACTATATTACTTCTAAGATTAAGTTATAAAAGTTATAAAAGTCAGTGTTACCTCCAATTTGGTCACTGCTTTCTTTATTTTCTGCTACCATGTGCTCTAAAGGAGGCCACTTACCATGTCATGAGTCACTCTGCGAAGAAGGCTACTTGTCAAATATCTGAAGCCTCCTGCCAGCAGCTACACAAGTAAGTCTGGAAGTGGACCCTCTAGGCCTTCAGAGGTCTGTAGCTTAATAGCACCCTCCTGAGACAAAACCCACAAAGCTAACCCACTTTCTACAGTCCCTAGATTCCTGACTCTCAGCAACTATATAAGGTAATACATGTTTGCTGTTTCAAGTTGTTTAGTTTGAAGTCATTTGTTACTCAGCAGCAGATAACTAATATACTTGAGCATGAATACCAGCATTGCCCTTTGTTAATCATGTGTACATTCACCTCTGGAAATCTGTTTTCCTTTTTCAAAATGTACTGTTACTGAAGCATAATCCATGATACATAGTAACTTTTTAATAAATATTTTAATGTTTATAGTACTTATCATTTAAAAAATGAACAGTTAAGAACATAGAAAGTTATAGAGCAGCTATGAAGAAACACAAAACTCAAAAAGAATAGCTACATCCACCCAGTAAGTATAGGAGCATATCATTAAATGTCCTAGCTACCTAGGCCCTAAGAGCTTCATTGAGTCACAGCTCACATAGTAAGGAAAAGTTGCCAGAACATCTGTATTGTTTTTTCATTCTTTTAGATGGTTATCACACTGACATATATAATACACATTGCCTTGTTGCCCTTAATAGTGTGCTTGTACCTAAGGTGGTTTCAACAGTCTGAAAAATGTTTCAGTAGAGCAGTGGTTCCCCAACTTTACCATGTACCAGAGTCACTTGGAGAGCTTATGACATGCTCATTGCTGGAACCTACCCTAAAAGTTTTGAATCAGCAGTTCCATGGTGGCCCCTGAACCTTTGCTTTTCCTGTGGTATGGGTATTGGATATTGAATGCCCAGGGACTTCACAATGAGCTAAATTCCCAGCCCCTTTTAATTTTTAAATTTGAGACAGGGGCTCACTAAGACATTAAATTGCCCCGGCTAACTCAAACTTGCAATCCTGCTTCAGCCTCTTCCCTTGCATCTGTTCCCACTCCTGCCTGCCCTCACACTTGTTCCAGCTGATAAGATTCTGCCCAGACTGCAGTGCAGAAGAAAGGCTTTGTCCACTTCCTTGCTCCCATGGTGTCTTTACACCATTGGTTGCTTCTTAAGGATACAGTGTGATGACTTGACTGATGTTTTCCACTCTTAGAATTCCAGAAAGCTGTAACATGGGTCACTTCTTATGCATCTGGAACACTCTTACCTTTTATAAGTGATTTGCTTCAGAATGGCTGGTATATCTGACAGTTTGTCCCCAGCTACAGAAAGGGAAGGAAGAAGGACACCAGTTAGATGTCAAGTGGGTTCTGTCTGTCTGTGTTCATTTTCCCCGAGCTGCTTCCAGCTGCCTGAGACCCAGGTTAGAAGAGGACCTCATCTATCCCAGTAGTGAGGCCACATGGACATTAAAATGAACAAAGAAGCCAACCTGTGCTCTTAGCTATTTTAGAGTTGGTTTTCTTCCCAATGTTTTGCTTATTCTGGAGTGGCTGTGCCGATGCAGGTACAGATAGGGTGCGGCCATTCTCTGTGCACATTGTTGCTGGTGGTCTGAGCCAACTTGCCCTCACCTCCCACAGCTCTGCCTCGGAGCCTAGTCTTGGGAAGTTAGCATTCTTGCTGTAATCTCGGGCTGCTGCCATGAGCTTTGGGCAAAAACAACAGGACTTTCTCTAGAGAATTCCAGAGTGTGTCTCACCACTGCCTTTGACTGCTGTTTGCATGAGTTTGGGGGAGGGTTTTTCCCAAATAAGGAGACTGGAGTGTCTTCTTGGTTGGGGATGCTATTCTGCAGGACTAGAGTTGGAAGTGTTTACACAGATACATTTCATATTTTACTTGCCCTTTAGATGAAATGCTGAACATTCCCATTATACTGACTTCCTTAAATTCTGCGCTTTATCCTGTTGAAGAGAGTTAGAGATGCTGATGCTTGGTAAGTGGCTTTGGAATTGCTTACACACCTTGTGCCAGGAACGCACTGCAGAGGGATTTGACAAGAAGCAGAGGTGGCGAGTGGAGGCTTTGACAGCTCCCAGAGGCGCTGCCTTGAGGCTTTGGTTAGGGCAACTCGTTCTCCTCTAGACCTTTCCTGTGTTTGTGTGGAGTTGGGCTCAGCAAATTGTTACACACCTACTCCATACTAGACACAATTTCCGGGTAGGTGCAGGGGACATCAGGACTAATAGAATTCTGTCCTGGCCTCCAAGAAGCTCAGGGCTTTGTTGGGACGGGGACTGGTTATGTTGACTTCAAGATGCCCACCAATATTTGCTACTCCTTCCCTTGAATCTGTCCCTGCTTCTAGCTTTGACCAATGAAATGTATTAGAAGGAATGTCATATAACTCCCACCTTGTAAGAGCCTGACTTCTAAAGAGACCACCATGACATGAGAAAGTCCAAGCTAGCTACAGACAGTGACAGTGTGGGAGGAACACTGAGGCCCTGCATGTGTGAGTCAAACCATGTCAGTGGACCAGTGCTGGCTGGGTACAGCTGAGAGAATGACTTCTGCTGATACCACATGAAGCAGAGCTGCCTAGCCACACCTTGCCAGCTGCATTCTTTACCCACAGCACTGTGAACAAATAGAATGGCTGTTGTTTTAATCCATAAATTTTGGGGTAGATTGGTATATAGCAGTAGATAGTGAGATAAACTTGTATATTCTTAGGTAATGATGGAGGCATACATGGGATGCTTTAGGAACATAGAAAGGTACCCAAGCCAGGCTATGGCAATGACAGCATGACCATAGAGTGCTTCCAGAGAAGGTGTGCTTGTGTAGAGCATCCTCTCCAAAGGCTTACATTTGAGCCAGGCTTAGGGGAGGGTGAACCCCATTTAGGTACAGGAGAACAGCGCAAGAAAATGTGGAGGTAAAGAGCAGCATGGTACACATGCAAGGGATCATGGTACACAAGCAGATGTAAGGCAGGGAGTTAAGGACAAATTTGCAGAGGTGTTCATAATAATAGTAATAGTAGTGATAGGTAAGTTTTATTGAACACTCACTATATGACAGATATGGACGAAGTTTTACATGATTTAACCATTTAATTCTTTATCTTTTTACAGTAGAAGAAAATGAGGGACAAAGAGATGCACTTGCTCTAGGGCACAACAGCCAGCAAGGGCAGAGTAGGGATTTGAGCTCAAGCAAAACCTTGAAGAATTTTGTCTCCCTCCTTAATGATGCTGAAATTTGTTCTGTGGGTGATGAGGGGTGACCTAAAGGTTTAAAATAAGGGAGTAGCATGGCCACATCAAGATATGCTGTATTGTGATTTTCCCATTTCTATTGCAGTAAAGTCTTCGTTTGTAAGCTTAATTCACTCACTTGTATATCAAGCATTTGTATATCAAAGTGAATTTCTCCATAACAAATAATGGAAACTCAGATGATTCATTCCACAACCCCAAAATATTCGTATAAAAATGATTATTATGCTGTAATATAATATAAAATAATAAAGAAAATACAAAATATAAGGAGAAATAAATTAATCTGCACTTTCCTTTGAAAACCTTGTGGCTGGTGTGAGGGAGACAAGAGAGAGGAGGGTCATTATGCAGGACAACTTTCACTATCACTGATGGAATCACTACTATTCATTGGCTCAATGGAATCTTTTTCTTTTTGTATAACTTTAATAAGGAACCTATCCAATGACATTTGCTTTTGCCTCCTTTTGAGGATTTTGGGGAAATGTGACTGTCTTATTTGCTTTTCTCTTGTTGCTGAGGCAAAATACCTGACACTTAATGTTAAAGAAGAAAAGATTTATGTAGCTCACAGTTTGTAGAGGTTTCAGTCTATAATCAGCTGGCTCCAAGGTAGGGTGGCATTTCAGAGGAGAAACAGTTCATGGTGGATAGAAGGTAAAGTAAGCAAGAGACCTTAGCAACTTTTTTCTGTCCCTTTTATACTCTAGGTATCAAGATTAGGGTGGTGCCAAACCAATCAGTGGACTGATTTAGTAATCACCCACTCTTAATCCTAGCATTGTACCATGAATCAATCACACACTCTAGATCCAGCCACCTCTGAAAAAGCCCCACCTATGAGCCCATGAAACTTTGGAGGGACATCTAGTCACAAACCATAACAGTGACATTGCATTGTTGTTAAACAGATTCATCACTCACACTACTACAGCCTTATTTGGCTGGTTCTTTTCTACAAAATTTTGTAGTTTCCCACATTTTACACATCTCCCTAATTTCATTTGAAAGAAGGGATTCCTCCAGCTTTTTCTCCTACTCTTCTGGAGTCTGGATCTCCTCCATAACCTCTTGCTGATGGGAGAACCACAGTCCTGCAGCCAGAGAATCATTGACTCAATTGTGATCATGTGACGTTTGGAGTCATGTAATACATTGCAAGACACTGCTTGTTTATTAAGTTAAAACTTATTAGAAATGTCTGCTCATCTTGTGAAACACTTATGGGACAAATCAGTTACAATCCAAGGTTTTACTGTGTTTTCATTGCCTGTTGTCTATTTCTCTGTAGTAAGCAGCAGAGAATTCCTCATAATGAGCAGGACCTATGAGATTATCTTTGAGGGACATAGGGAAGCAGGAAGGTATGAGGGGGTCACATGACACTCCCTGGCTGCTCATGGAGGTAAAAGGGAGGACAGAATGCCCAGGGAGAGAATGACTGTTAGCTACCAAAGAGAGGAAGGTGGGGCCACACCCTTGACCCCACAGAAGAATGAGACTAGCAGACAATGGGAGTCAGCCCATTCTACGTAAGATCTTTTAAATCAAGGCATAGATAGACAATCTACTTTTCTCTCTTTTCTCCTCCCATAGCCTTTCAGGTGATTCACATCAAAATAGTAAAACAACTGTTGGGTTCCTAAGAGCAATTAGCAAGGAAGAGAGCATTTCACAAAAATTTGGAACCACTCATCTGGCCATGGCCACTGCTTTCTGAAGGGGCTCTTGTGGGTGAGCCATGGAACAGCTGTTCCAGAATGCACCATGCCGATATTCTCTCTGTTCCTTGCCCTGAGCAGCCCCAGTGGAGATGAATCTGTGTGCAGACTTTCACACCATCACTCAAGCAGCTTTTTGTGCAGTGGGGGAAGAAAGATCTGACTTAGGGTGGAAGCTGGGGGATCTGGTCTCAGACTTAGCTTCTCTGACACTTGTTTTGTGTGATATTGGCAAATGTCTAAAATTTTCTAGGGTGCAGGATTCTTGTCTGTAATATGAGGCTGTTGGATTAAGGTTAATTTAACCACAAATCACCCAAAGGCATGAATACTATGTCAAGGTCTTTGGTGGCTGTCTTTGAAGGTGTATACCACAATCTCAGTACCACATTTAACCATAGTTAATGTGTGCTGAGTGGGTACTAAAAGCCCAACCTCTTGCCAAGCACTTTATTTATTTATTTATTTATTTATTTAGAGACAGGATCTTGCTGTGTAGTTCAAGCTGGCCTTGAACTCACTATGTTACCCAGGCTGGCTTTGAACTCATGGTGATCCTCCTGCCTCAGCTTCTTGGGTGCTGGGATTATAGGCATGTGCCACCACACCTGGTGCTAAGCACTTTATATATTTTATATATGAGGATTATTTATTTATTCTTCATAATAACTCAAGATTAATGAAGCTTTTTCTTTTTTATTTATCCTCATATTAAGTATGAATTTTTATTATTTCCTTGATGATTCAAAACAAACGTTGTCTAATGATCTTGAAAGTAATCCACATAATCAGAATATTTTCTAACTTAAGAGTTCTTGTGCCATTCCCACGTGAACAGGCAGCCGTTTCACAATGTAGACTTAATAATGGAATATTATACATTACTGATAAGGAACTAGAAGTACACATATCAACTTCTATGAATTTCATAAGTACAGTGAGCCACAAAATGCACACTGCAAAATGCCTACTTTATCTCACCATTTATACAGAGTTCAAAACTATAAAACAATATACATACTCTGGGGTATAGCTTAGTGATAGGTCATTTGCCTAGCATGTTTGGTGGCCTGGGCTTAAATCTCAGTACCACATACATGCAAAAAAGTGCTATATATTGTTGAGGATACATATCTATATTTTTACTGAGTAATAAAAACCCATGACATTGTCACCATCACATTCAGGATAGTAGTTACCTCTGGGGAAGCTCTGAGGTCATCAGAGAAGGGACAAAGAGATTTCACTTCCAGGGCAATGTTTGATTAGTTCAGGTGAGTGACAGCTACACATACGCTTAGGTATAATGTAAATATTGTATGATTTAATGATTTAATTTTAATGATGTAAAATTCAGTTCATTGTTTTGAAGTAGTATTCTTCAAATTCAACATGGTAATCCTTACAAATCAATCCATATTGCTCTTCATAGATAAAACTGTTTTCTGTTAATGAGATATTTGTAGAGAGTAAACACACACATTTAAAACCTTGCCTAAAATTCGACAGGAAGTTATACCCCAGCATTTCCACATTATCCTGTGGTCACATTGGTCAGCATGTTCATTGTAGAGAGATCACCCAAAGGCATGAATACTATGTCAAGGTCTTTGGTGGCTGTCTTTGAAGGTGTATACCACATGTTCCACCTATATTTTTAACACATTATTGTATTTACTTTTAATATTACTTGTCTAAAATTATCTTAATGTTTTGTTTCAGACCCACTTCCTTTTCAACAGAAGGTGAAATTTCCAACAGCAGGAATTTCAATTTTTTTTTTTTTTTTTTTTGGTTTTTTCTCTGGTACCAGGAACTGAACTCACAACCTTGCGCTTGCCAGGCAGGCGCCTTTGCCACTGAGCTAAATCCCCAGCCCCAGGAATTTCAACTTTGTATTGCTATACTTACGACAGCAATACCTAAAACAATGTTAGGTGCATAGTTGATACTCAGTATTGAGTATGAGATAGATGTTATTATTATACCAGTTTTGTACATAGAAACAGAAGTTTGGAGAAGTTAAATTGTCCAGTGTTACATAGATGGCAAGTGGTAGAGCGAGCATCAATTTATACATGCAGACTTATTACCAATAGCTTATTCGGGTCCAATCTGCGGACTCCAGTGCTGTTATTATGCAGGTAGAATGATGCCCAGATGTGGAGAGCAGCACAAGTGCTGGGGTGGGCATTCCTGGGCCATATAAGGAGGAAGTGTATGAGTGTCTGTGTGTGCATGTATGTGTGGTTAAGATGAAAGACAGAGAGAGAGAAGATGTGGGGGAGAGAGAGAGCTTTGCAGTTAGATTATTAAAATAGAGAGAATGTACTTTGGACAGCTGTCTTGACCTAGACCTGGAGATTATACTTTGACTTGAGGGTTACTCACCTCTACATTCTTTGAAAAAAATGTGTCTCTAAGGAATTACCTTATTAAAATGACTAAAATTTCTTTTAGAACTCCCACACCAATTTAAGTTGCTATTTGACTAGCAAGCATATTGTTGAATTATACATGATTGCTAATTTGATTATGTTTGTGGGAATTATCCATTTTCTGGATTATTTGCCAAAAAAAGAAAAGTACTGTCTTTTGGCCACCCACTCTCCATTCTCCCTCCCAGCTCCTGAAGGAGGGGCCCTGGTATTCATCAAAACACAATAGGGTCCTCTTAGAACAATGCCTTATCCACCCACTCTCCTGGCTGGGGAGCTGGAAAATTGGGAGGTAGAGAAATGTTATGAAAGTGCCTCCCTTGCTCTTGTCTCCTCTGGGCCATTCTGGGTGTTGAGTTTTGTTGAGTTTTTCTGGGTGTAGCTAGGAGTGTTGTCTGTGCGGGAAGGAGATCTTTGAGTGAGACCAGGATGAGTGATATTCAGGAGAAGGCCACCAAAGTTGGTTGTGAAGGCTGGCTCTGATCTTGCCTCAGAGGAAAGGTGATGATAGACCCCCAATTTCTATAGGCTCCACGTGGTTTATACATGCAGAAAAGCAGAGGGAGGGTCAATGCAGAAAGCTTACTTACGAAAAAAGAATCTTTGCCTTTAGGTGGAAACACCCTCAGGAACATGTCAGTGGCTGTGGTTAGCTGGACTCAGACCCGACCTGGCTGACAGATGGAAATAACTTTCCTCTCAAACAGTGAGTTCGTCTTCACCAAGAGTATCTAGACGGAGGCTGGATAGCCATGTGTCAAGGATTTGCAACCTTAATACCATCTGTAGATTTTCTATGTGCTTACACGTTAGGCCAAAACTTATTCAAAGAACATTCTCCTAGGGCCCCACCTTTTCTTTTCCATGACTCCCTCAGGAGGGGGCCATAGCACAGTGCTGAAGAGCACAGCTAGGAGTTTGTCAGCTTTACTTTGTGCCCTGGCTCCAGCACTCACTAATTATGTGATCCTATACAAGTTACTTGACTTCTTTGTGCCTCTGTTTCCTCTAATGTAGAATGGGGACAATATTCCCATATGGGTTTTTTAACTTATAGAGGAGTTTTACAACAGTGAAATTGGGATAATACATGTAAAGCTCTTAGCCCACTATGTTTTATTCAATAATTCATTTTATAAACATATGAGTGAGACCTTGTGCCAGGCATAGGAGAAAGGTGAAGGACACTGAATTCTGGCTCTCATGAAACTTACATCCCAATATGTGGGGGATGGTAGGCAACATAATGGCCCCCCAAAGATGTTCACATTCCCATCCTCGAAACATGTGAATGTTTGTTACTTCACAAGGAGGGATTGGGGTTGCAGATGGAATCAAAGTTGCAAATCAGCTGAGTTTAAAATAGGAATATTAGCTTGGCTTATCCAAGTGGGTCATGTAATCACATCCTAAAAGATGGAAAAGGAGGCAGAAGAGTGTTAGGGGGATGCTGTGATGTGGTGTGAGAAGAACCTGAGCTGTTCTTGCTGACGTTGAGGTTGGGAAGACAATGCAAGCCAAGGCAAACAGAATCCCTTTCTACAAGATGAAAAAGACAAGGGAATGAATTGTCCTATGGAGCTTCTAGAAGGAACATAGCTGCCCTGAAATCTCAACTTTAGCTCAGTAGAAGCCATTTCAGACTTCTGATCTCCAGATCCTTAAGATAATAGATTCTTGTTTGGCACCATATTTGTGGTAATTTGTCACAGCAGCTTTAAGAAACTAATACTAATGCAGATAAGAACTAAGTGAACAAATGAATATACAGTGTAATTTCAGGCAGTGATAAGTACTAACAAGAAAATGAAGCAGGATAAGGAGACAGAGAATGATGAAGGAGGGCTCCTTCTGATGGTCAGGGAAAGCAGTCTTGAGAAATGACATTGGCGAAGATATTGGCATGACAGAAGACAAGCCATGGATCTGCATGTTAGCAAGAGGAATGGAGCCCATAAGAGGGTAAGGGCTTGAAGAGCTGAAGAAGATTAGAAGGTCAGTGTGGCTAATCCTCAGTGGGCAAGTGAAGAAGTAGTAAGAGATGAGACTAGCCAATGCAGAGGTCAGACTCAACTGACAGCCCTTGGAATCTGGATTTTGTTCCCAGCCTGACAGGAAATCATTGGATGTTTCCCCTCCCATGGAAGGGTAAAAAAAACTAATTCACATGTTACAAAGCTCACTTAGGCTGCTATGAGGGGAGCAGACTGGAAGAGTTCAACAGTGGAAGTAGCAAGCCAAGTTAGGACACTATGGAAAAGGCAGTGGGTGGTAACAGGTGGTGAGAAGGAATTGGAACCTAACATATCTTGGTGGTTAGAGGTGACTGGACTTTGTGATGGCTTAGATATGGGCTGGAGGCAAGGAGGGAAATCAAAGTTGCTTTGTAGGTTTGGGTTGGAGCTAGTGGTTGTTATAGGTATTGGATACTGTTACATGCTGGTCTGCCATTTCCCATCTCTACATCTATGCTCATGATATTTCTTCCACCTGGGACTTCCTCCTCCTACTCTATTACCAAGGATTACATTCATATCCATCCTGCAGAGCCTATGCTTCTAGTATTGGGGGAGCTCTCTTGTTTTAAGTCTTTTATGTAAGTCTTGTATGTAAGTCTTTTTAAGTAAGTACCTCATCTCCCCTCCTAGAAATAATAATTTTGAAGGCAGTGATGTCCATTACTGTTCTTGTATCCCCTGCTGCACAATGACTTACACACAGAAGGTATCCCATACCTGGCTGTTGAAAGGAATTGAATGTTATGGAGAGGATGACTGCACTAAGTGAAGAAGCTGAACTAGGTATTCTCTAAAGCTACTTTCTGCTAAAATTTTAGGATGCATTTCACTGCAGGTTGGTTGTCCCCACCACTCAGAAAGTTTATAGGTTGCCCAATTCTTCACTTGATTACAGAGGTTGTGGAGAATGCAATCTACCTTCAATGCAAGCCAAGGGAAGAAGGAATTATTAGGTTTATGAAGGCATACAAAGATAGTCTCCCACGCTAAATATAAATGGTTTTGGATTGTGTGCAGCTTTATACTAGCCATTCTTTCCTTCTGTTCCCTCCCCTCTCTAATAGGGACAACCTTACAATAGGTTAAAAATAGGAAAGGTTGGTAGCATGCCAGTACTGCCTTTAATTATCCTACTTTTATGGTACAAGAGTCTCACATATATTATATATTTAATAACTTGGTGTTGGCACTATACATATATATCTCTTTCCAATGAGATATGCATTGCATAATGATACATGCATTTAAGGAAAATTGCTGCTCTTAGCAATAACCTATATTTTTACTTTTGCCATATACAAAGTAATCCCACAAAATAGTGGCTTAAAATAACAAATGCTTACTTAACTTTCATTTGTGCAGTGTGGAATTTGAGCTGTAATCCCTGGGCTCATCTAGTCTGGGTTGGCTTTGCTGATCTTGGCTGAGTTCACTATATATTTATGATCAGCAGGTAAGTTGGTTGGGGCTGGACTGTTGGACGGCTCGGTAGAGGTGGCAGGGCAAACCGAGTCACTTTTCACAAGGTCTCTTTCCTCAGTTATTTAGTTCAGACTTTGTGTGATGGTTTCAGAATTCTACAGATGAGAAGGGAATTATGTAGTCTCTTGATGCTTTTGTTTTCAGCTTTTCAACATTGCTTCTGCCACATTCTGTTGCACAATGCAAGTGGCAAACCTAGAAAAGAAGGCTGGAAAACCTAGGAAATAAGGGAGAAATGGGTATAAAACTACACACAAGGGATGGATGAATTGCCTCTTGTTAAAGGGATCGACAGAGGCAAAGTTGCATTGCATAGACTGTAGATACAGGGAGGGGTGAAGAATTGCGGCCATTTTTGCAACATGTCGGAATCAATTAGGCCCTTTTGGTTTAAGTGACAAAAAAATCTAACTCTAAAAGTTGTTTAAGCATTAAAAATGCACTAACTTACACAATAAGAAGTTTGGAAGAAAAGTTATTCCAGGGTTATTTTACCTTAGTAATGCTATCATGGCACTAGGTTTTCTTTTATTCAACTTTCTATTCTGTCATTTGCATCACAGTGTTTTTTGTCCACATCTTAACAGGATATCCATGAAGGTTTCAGACTTATGAACAAATGACATATGACAAAGTCCAGAGGAGAAAAATAGAATGTCTCTGTCTTGTGTCATGTTTTATAAATGAGGAAAAAAATCTACCCAGGGGCCCTTGTAGTTGACCCGTTGAATCTCACCTATGACACCATATGCTGTGCCTGAGAATAAATGAACTGAAACTCTGCCCATTAACTTCATACTACCATATCAATAGGGTGGTGAGGTATGCATGCATTACCCTCAAGAACAGATCACAGATCTTTGACAGGGGCTGGGGATTTAGCTCAGGGGCACAGTGCCTGCCTGGCAAGTGCAAAGTCGTGAGTTCAATTCCTGGTACCGGAAGAAAAACAAACAGAAAAAGAATAGATCTTTTACAAATGGTAAGGGGACCAAGAGATGGAGGGAGGGGAGAAGGATGAGAGAGAAAGGGGATGAAAAAAGAATTAAAATGGGGCTGGGGATTTAGGTCAGCGGCAAAGCGCCTGCCTGGCAAGCGCAAGGTCGTGAGTTCGGTTCCCGGTACCGGAGAAAAAAACCAAAAAAAAAAAAAAAAAAAAAAAAAAATTAAGATATGTTAGTACATGTACCAACTCCCTATGATGAATGCAATCATTGTGTATTACAAACACATATTAATAAAAATTTTTAAAAATTTAAAAAAGAGAGATGACAGGAAACTAGAAGATAGAAATTTAGAGACAGGGAAGAAGTTAAAAGGAAAAGAAAAGACGGGAGAAAAGTAGAATGGGTTAATAGGGATGAATATTATTAAGATATATTTTATACATTGTACCAACATACCAAATTGAAACTCATTATTCTGTATTACTAATATGCACAGGTGAAAATTATATGAATATTTATAAAAAAGAAATAGAGCAAATTAGGAATGTTGACAAAGCCAAGTCTGTTTGCCAAGGATAGTAGCATTGGTTCCTACCAAATACATTCCTATCATTTGCAGTGATTTCATTAATAATGATAATGATGATTATAACAACAAAACCAATAATAATATATGGTAAACCTCTTTTCAAATATAATATTAATTCATTTGGTAAGAGATGGTGTGGGTCAAGTAATTTCAAGAACTGTGACTTACAACAAATAATTTCTAAAAATCACATGTTGCTTTTTATTTGGCTATTTATGTTTGCTATTTGAATCATTTGAGGATAGGAAGTATACGTCCTTAAATCTTAGAGATGATTCTGAGGTCTGAGTTTCACTGCTTAAATAGTCAAATAAAGAGTAAAGGGATGGAAAACCAGCCAGCAACTAGGAAGCTTTAAGGCTTTTGTTCATAGAGTACATTTGTTCTTAATTTAATTAAATCTCACCACACCTATTAGTTTTCATGTTTAAAAACTGATCTGGGCTAATAAATTCTGCAAAGGAAAATCTGAAATAACAAGTGCCTCTTCTTTGACTCTTTTCCATAAACAAAGTGTCTTAAAAGGCCTTCACTGAGTCAGTCTCATGAAGACACAGGACACCTGCAGATAGGTCTGGAGTACCTAATTTTGCCCACAAAGAAAGTGAAAATTTTAAAAAATGACTTCCAACCATGCTTTGGGAAAGATCAAACTAGGTAAATTCAAAGTACACATAGTTTAAATATAAAAAGAAGAAGTTACCCTGGAAGGCAAGTTTGGATATTGCACTGTTCTGCAGTTTCCTTCCATATATGATTTGTTTGACTGTCTACTTTCTCTCTTTGTTAAATTGCTTACAGTTCAAAAGCTTTTCCTCTTTCTATAACTGTTACAGTGAAATCAGCCAGTGCAATTAGTAAATTCTGCACTCTGGATTTCTTTTGTAGTATTATTGTAGATTTTCTGATAGGATTCTGTCATTAGCACACATATGGGTATGGGGGGAGGCGGGGTTGGTTGTCAGTCCTTTTACCTACAATAACTTAAATATCCATGACAGAACTCTCAAAAAACAAACCACAATGACTTTAGAAAAGAATGAGCAGCATGGGTGATTGGTTACAAATATAAATTAAACATGTGGTTGTCTTAAACATAGATCATTTTCTGAGCTGGCATTTGCAGGGGTGATAAAGGTCATGATGCTGACTGAGGAGAAATTTGGGATAAATTTCATTCAAGAGTTTTGAATACTATATAAAAGCCACCCCAAAGATTCTAAGAGACATAATCATTTTACACGTCCTCTCACCTCTCCCAATATTATGATGGAAGAAAACCTGGAGGAGCAGCCCCCAGCCTGCTAGCTACTAACTGTGATTATATATGAGGTGGCTGCTGTTGTGGGACTTCCCCTTGTGTGTAGTTTTTAGTAAGTACCTCACTCTGATTGCATGCAAAGGCAGAAGGGAAAGACCCTTCATTGCTTGTTGCACAGAAACTTGGGTGTGGTCATATGAACTAGGCTTCAGCACTAATGCTATAACCTCAGCCTTCAAAACTTGGGTAGATGGCAGAAGACCTGCCCTAAGAAAGGCCAGTGAAGCATCAAGAGTATAAAGCTGAAGGAGTCATCCATCCTCAGAGTCCTTCAATTGCTAATCTGCACTTGTGAGCACTCCGTAAGCATTGTGCCCTAGATTGCTGGTTTGCTACCATGGTCTGATGCTTTGAAAATAGCAAGCAGATCCTCACAATGCTAGTGGATGTGATGGCAGTAGAGTGCTGGTGGTGTAGTGCTAGTGACAGCAAAAAAAAAGACTGTGGTAGAGCCGTGAGGTGTGCTGATTCCACAAGGTGTGGGTAGCACCTTGTATTAGTCAAGGTGGGACAAAATACTTGGCATACATTACTTAATGTATGTTGCAGGGACAACATACTTGGCATACATTACTTAAAGGAGAAAAAGGTTTACTTTAGCTCATGGGTTCAGTCCATGGTTGGTTGGCTTCAAACATTATGGCAGAAAGGTATGGTGGAGGAACCTCATGGCAACCAGAAAGTAGAAAAGCACGGAAGAGCCAAAGAGAAAGCAAAGGGCTCAGGCACAAGAATGTAGCCTTCTGGCTCACATGCCTGGTAACCTAATTCAGTCAGGTCTGTCTTCCTAACAGCTCATTCAGTTATGACCTCATCAGTGGGTTCATCCATTGGTAAGTTTAACAAGCCCATGAACTAATCCCTTCCAAAAGCTCCACTTCCTAATACATGAGCCTTTCAGGGGACAGTTGGATCTGGTTCCTATGGGAAAAGTTCTTGGTTCTCCTGCCTTCAGTTCTGTCAGTTCCTTGATAATCCTCCCAATACATTATTTTTCTACTTAAATGAATCAGAATTGGTTTCTGTTGCTTGTACCCAAGAACCCTGACTAATACAGGGGGATTCTGAGTCATTTTCACTTTGTTTTCCTTTATCCTTTTTGTGTTTTCACTTTTCATATATTTATAGGCTGATTGTTTTTTATTAATATTTTTGTCAACTTGTTCTGTCATCAAGTAGATCAAAACATGCAGGGTGGGTTCCAGACCGAGTCAGTTCACCTTTCAGTGATGTCAGCATCAAGGATCTGGGTTCGTTCCATTTCTCCACTATTCCATTATTCATGTTGGCTTTATTCTCAGGTTACTGGTAGACTGATGATGGCAATTTTAGTACAGAGATGACAACACCTAAAGAAGAAGAAAAGAATCTCCTGTGGTGTTCTTTTCAGAACAATGAGAAATTATCTACAAACCTTAGACACTTTCTCATCACTGAGACCCAGTGCCCGACTTCATAATTTAAAGGGGGAAAAGTTTATTTGGCTCGTGTTTTAGAGGTTTTGGTCCTTGCATGGTTAGCTGGCCCCAGGCAGAAACAGTATGGTGTAAGGGTGGGGAAAAGCTGCTCATGGCATCGAAGCAGTGAAGCAGAGAGGTAAGGGAGGAGTCAGAGAGGGAGATAAACCATTCCCAGTTAGGCCCCCAGTGACCCACCTCTTCCAACCCCACCTTCTAGCCACAGACTTAGCTACAAACTTATCAGTGAATCCATCAATGAATATAGCAACCCCATGACACAATCACCTCCCCAAGGCCCTGCCTAAGTGTGCATGAGGCTTTGGGAGATATCTTAATATAAACCACAACAGAGCCACACTACTAATTCCCCTCTAAATTTATTGGCCTGGATCAAACCACTTTCCTAAGCATGGCCTTACTCCTGACAAAGGCAGAGGAATTCTCCCACATACCAACAAATCATTCCTAGAGATGGGATTAGTTTTCCCCAAGGAGCATGATCTGTGGGGAAGAAAAAAGTACAGTATCTGAATAACACTGAGATTCCCTTAGGAACAAGAAGAATGGAATGGAGGCTTAATAGTCAACTTTCAGTATCCATGATTTATTTTGCTTGCTTGTTGAGTATTTTTGTTCACTTTTGGGTTTGTGGCTATAGTCTAGGTATTAATATGTATAACTGGCTGTCTCAGGCAAATGTTAATCCCATCTTTTGATACAAGTTTTAAAATGCTGACTATAACATAGTAAAATAGTACAGCCACTGTGAAAAATAGTATGGCAGTTCCCCAAAGAATTCAAGATAGAATTACCATATGAGTTGGCAGTTCCACTCTGGATATATACCTAAAAGAATGGAAAGCAGGGATTTAAATATATGTTTATAGCAGCATTATTCACAATATCCAAAAGGCAGAAGCAACTGAAGTGTTCATTGTTTGATGATAGAGAAATAAAGGGTGGTATGTGTATACACATAATGGAATATTATTTAGCCTAAAAAACACAGAGCTGCCATGTGCCACAACATAGATGAGACTTGAAGTCAGTACAGTAAGTGAAATAAGCTAATCACAGGAGGACAAAAATTGTTATTCTACTTATATGAGGTACTTACACTAGTCAATGTGTGTATTTACATACATCTTTTTGGTTCTGCTACTCTGGAGAACCCCAATACACTTGTGTTTATCATAAATATTATGATATCTAAAATTTTTTCATAATTGAACAAATACTCCCCTATATTTGTTACCAGAGGACCCAGAAAACCTGATGACTCAGAGCTGTATATCATAATATCCCCATACCAAACACATGTCAGCAGGATGGGTGGAAGTTGTACAGGAGTAGATGAGGATATGTGTGGGTATGGACCTTTGCTCTTGGTCTAGAATTCCCTCCTGTACTTGGTACCTGGTTTATTCTTTATAATGTCACTCAGAACAGTGGCTGGGATAGCATGCACTCCAGAAATGTTACTAGCTCCTTTATTATCTTAAAGTGAAATTTGTCTTCCCCATCCACAATATTTGGAAGAAACTCCATGAAAAGGATAGTCTGTCCTCTCCTCCTCTCTCCAGTTGTAGACTGCTGAGTTTAGAATAAACTGAGTACATTATTGCTCTAGAACTGCTATAACAATGTACCACATGCTGTGTGGCTTAACAACAACAAATATTTATTATCTTGCAGCTTTGGGTGCTGAGAGTCTGAAATCAAGGTGTGAACAAGTCAGTTCCTTTTGGAGGCTTTGAGGAAAACACATTCTGTGGCTCTCTCCTAGTTTTGAGGGATGCTCAAAATCTTTTGTGTTCCTTGGTTTGTAAATGCATCACTCCAATTTCTGGTTGTGTCTTCACACCACTTTCTCCTATTTATTTTCTGCCCATATCTTCTAAGAATAGTTGCCATTTGATTTAGGGCCCAGTCTAACCCAGAATGATCCCATCTTGAGATCTTTAACTTAATAACATCTGCAAAGATTCTTTTTCCAAATGAAGTCACTTTCCCAGATTCTGGGTAGATGTGGTTTTGGGGACCACATTAACCTACTGAACTGACCATCTGGATCCAGCTTCCTCCTCTCCTTTCCTTCTGGGAGTGAGCCTGCTTGCTGAGGGCATATTCTGCCCTGATCCTTCTATGTGGGTGTACAGGGGCCTTGCCTTCCATCAGAAAGCTGCTGTGTCCTGGCAATCCATGTGATAAGATGGATAAATCTGCCTCATTCTTCATTCAGCATTGAAAACCCACTCACCTGTCTTATATATCAGCTTTGTTAAGGAAAAGAGATACACTGATCTCCCATCTATCTTATTCTCTGATTTTTTTTCCCTCAATTAGTTGAGAATTCAACAATGGAAGAAAGGGAAGAGGCACCAAGATGGCAGAGTGGTAAGCAGCAGAGATAGAGCCTCTCTGAGTGTTACCATCCAGATGCTGGAATATAGAAACACAAGGAAAACAAGAAGGAGGGAAGTGGGTCCCCTAGACCCAGGAAAGATCTAAGACATGAAATGAAGCCCAGGGAGAGAGTGAAGGGAGCAACTTCAGTGAAGAGGAAGGAGGTAGCTGGTGGCATCTTTTCCCTGAGACAGGACTCACTGAGCCAGAGGAGTGGTCCAAACCTGCTGACACCCACTGACTGCTGGAGACCCCAGAGGCCTGCATGGAGAGACATAGCACCGGGGGAGAGCAGTGAATGTGAAGGACTGCACTAGCTGGCAGTGAGTGCTGAGGGCTCAGTCGTCCCACAGGAGAGAGTGATTGGCTGGGAGCCATTTTGGAGAGGGGCTGGCTGAACTCAGAGTGGCTGCTGGCTCCATCTAGTGGCTCCCAGCTGGGCTCTGGCCCACAGAAGGTGAGCTGACAGCTGCAAGCCGAATGAGTCTGGTCTTGGTTAGAAGGTGCAGGTTTGCTGAGGTTATCCACTACAACCTGCCAGAAAGCTATTGCTGGCTTGCTGAGATAGATTAGCATGGATCAAGAGCCTGTCTCCACATGTTGTCTATCAGTGACAGCACAGACAGACCTGGAAGTGGACTTCTCTCTCTCTCTCTTGGTTTTTGTTGTGGTGGTGATGGTGGTGGTAGTTTTGTTTTTGTTTTTGTTTTTTTTCTCCTTCATTGTTTGATCTTGTTTTTATATGAGTGTGAATGTGGTTTGTAGCCTCTTTGCAGTTGTTTTTCTGTTCTGTTCTTTTAATCTCTTCCTTCTCTCTTTCCCTCCAGTTTTTTGCATCAGTTTCCCAAGTTATGTGATCCCCTTTTATCTTCCAGTCTTACTTCTAATCTCTTTCTCTTCTTGTATCTCTGTTTTTTCCCTAACTCCTTTTAAATTTTAACCCCTAAGTGTAAGATTGACATATTAAGGACTTACATACTACATATAATTTCCTGATCTGTTTTACATTTTGTTATATAACTAAAAAAGTCTAGTTAAACCTGTCACATTGATTTGTCATTTTCTAGGCTGTGATTGTTGCTACGTTATTGCTGATGGTACCACTTTAGACTTTAGCCAAAAGTGACATCATTTTTCTAAACAGCTATTCTTCCTGGTATTCCAAGACTGAGATTGACTAAAGGTCATAGAAAAATACTGTGGCATAGTGCCAAAGAACCAAAGGCTGGGCCAAACAGGCAGTAAGTTGCAGTACTAGCAAGAAAGCAGTCCACCATAGGCAGTTTACAAGCATCACCCCAGGAATTAAACTAAAAAAAGAAAAGAAAATGAGAAGACACTTAAACAAGATGTGGTTAGCAATCACAAAAAGAAAAATTCCTTAAAAACAGCAAGAGACCATGAGAAATCAATCCAGCAGCTGCTAAATGAGTCAAAGAAGAATAACTTAAGGTTGATTGTAGTCAATGAAAAAGGAGGAGATAGTGCAAGTGATATAAAAAGCTGTTCACAGAAGTCATGGCAGAAAAATTCCTTGATAGAGGAAAAAAAAATTTGACATATAGATAAATGAGGCATATAGAACTCCAATTAGCCATGATCAAAAAATATCCACAGCCACACATGTCATAGTCAAGATTCCAGAAATGCAACACAAGAATCTTAAAAGCTGTTGGGAAAAGAAACAAATAACCTATAAAAGAAAGCCCATTGAAATTACAGCTGATGCCGGGCATGGTGGCACATGCCTGTAATCCCAGCACTTGGGAGGCTGAGGCAGGAGGATTGCTGCAGGTTCGAGACCAGCCTGGGCTACAAAGTGAGCTCAAGGCTACAAAGTGAGCTCAAGGCCAGCATAGCGAGACTCTGTCTCAAAAAGACAAAAAACAAAACAAAACCGAAATTACAGCTGACTTCTCAGTACAAACCCTGAAGTCAAGGAGAGCTTCGGGTGAAGTATTTCAAGTTGTAAAGGAAAACAACCTTCAACCCAGATTGATGTACTCCACAAAACTATCTTCTAAAACTGATGGAGAAATAAGATACTTGTATGACAAAGAACATCTGAGGAAATTTATAACCACCAAACTAGCACTCCAAAATGTTTTGAAGGACATTCTAGAAAGAGATAACAAGGACTACAACTCCACGAACCCCAACAGGAGGAATGCACCAGGCAAGGCAAACAAACAGAGGGAGGGTAAAAAAGAAGGGGAGCCAACAACACGAAAATAACATGGCAAGGATAAGTCAATACATATCAGTTATAACTATCAATGTTAATGGTCTGAGTTCCCCAATCAAAAGACACAGACTGGCAGAATGGATTAAGAAACAAGATCCAACAATATGCTGCATACATGAAACACATTTAATTCAAAAAGAAATTCATAGACGTAAAGTCAAAGGACAGAAAACAATATTCCATGTGACAGGAATCCAGAAAAAAGCAGG